TTTTAAAAGAACGAAAGAATTCGAAATATGACAAATACACTGCACAGGACAGACCGTGTGAAAAATTTTAAACAATGAACTCTAGTCCTCGGAGACTAACATGCAATGAATAATCACAGCAATTGTTCCGACTTTCGATAAGAAAGTAACGGAATATTTGTGCTCGGGGTGGGTTTTTTTTTCTTCAGACAAATTTCGACTTTTTAACTAGCCATTTTTGACGGAATTTTTTTTACATCATTCGAAAAGTATTGTTGTACTGAGCTCAAATTTGAAACGTTATTTCACGTGTGATTATTTTTTGTAAAGTAACGGGGGTTTAAAGATTGCCATTTTGGCCAATTTGGGACAATTAACGCGCGATATATTTCGCGCTATTAACGCGTAAGCGGAGAGTTAATCCGTCTTAGAAATCGTTCCAATTTGGTTAAAGAAGCGTGCCAATGTGCCACTATTGGTTTGTTACAAGGAGCGAAATCTATCCTTTTGTAGTTTGTATGGCGTGTGGGGGGATGATTTTCATAAAAAATTTCAAATTTTAGAAAAAAAATTTTTCGTTTTGTTTTATTTCATTGAATTTTTAAATGTTAGTACTGCTCCATAAACCTTAAAAGGCAGTCGGAAAATTCAGGGCTTTGCCCTGATACGAGCAGTCTTGTTTCTATTCCATTTATAGTAACGGCTGTAATACTTTTGAAAAACTGACATATCAGATTTAAAAAGAAAATGAAACCCCAAAAATTAAAAGAAAGAAGGAAAAAATAAAAATTAAAGAAAAAGTTAATAGGTAAAAGAAAAAACTCGAAACTTTACAAAACTAACGGAAAATTTTATTAAACATTATGCGATGTTTTTTGTTATTACAGTTGTATAATTTTGATGGGTCAAAATGTCTGATTGGTACACTTGGACATATTTGTCATTTTTATGATCTTATAAATTGTAAAAAAGAAATTTAATCCTGACGATACACAAAATGTGGAAAAACGTTTAAATTAATTCTCAGAAATTCTATCGAAGAAATGTGACTTGGCTCACGTTTCAGACTCATGTGGCGGTTGGGACAAACAATTTTCCATGTAGTACAAATGAGACCTGCACAAAATGGTCCATTGTGAAAAATGTCGTTTTGTTTCATATCTCAGATGAGAACTCCCACCGCTAACGTGGCTATTAGTACTGGTGCTAGATCTATCACCACAAAACGACAGAATGGTTCGAATTGCAACACAGCGTCATTAAGTTTTGAAAATCGTCAACACGGCCAATGGTCAAATAACGAAAAACGCCAAAGATCAAGGATAATTGTAAGCAAGAAAAATCCAGCTGCCTCCCTGAATATTGCTCGCGAGATCAACGATAGCCGACAATCTTAATCAATCAGTTTCATTTAAATTGGTTTTGTTGCTGCATTTTAATACAATTCAAGTTTTGGTGCGCATAGGTCACTAATGATTTCTAAATTTTTGCATTTCAACATCTTAACATTAGAGCTGCAAGAGCAGAAGATACTATTAACACCAAAAGTCTAAATAATCTACTATTTAATACCCCAATAATCTACTATTTTAAGACAGAATTTTTTTAGCCCTAAAGGTTTTCTGTAGACGCCAATGATTGGGCAGATTTTCAAAAATTTATCAAAAACTTATCAAAAATTTTTCAAAAACTTTAACCAGAAAACTATAGAGACCCTATTTAGAAATTTGGCAAATTCGGCAAATTTTCAAAAAAAAACATGTTAAAAATGCCATTCTTGGGCACTTTTACGAAAATTTTGACCAGAAAATTGTGTTTTTTTGACCATTAACAGCGTATGTAGAAAATTATTAGGGTTGGTCGGCCAAAACTGGGTGTCATAAGGTACTACCAAACCCCGTCCTTCTCCCACCTAAATTCGCCCCTGGGATCAGTTACTGGCTTCAGTCTTAGAAATTTTAAGCGAAGCAAGTCTAGAATTTTTTAGATGTTTCATTAAAAAAATTAAGTAGAACCGGCTGCAGTGCAAGAACTAGATACATTTCGATCTTTGGATCAAATAACTTAACAAGTCTTCTATTTAATCATAGCTTGACCAGCTGTTGAAGTAATTCCCAGTGTTGTTCAAAAAATTAGCAAACTCATAGTTAAAAAGAACATTGACTCTTCAAACTAAATGCATCTAAAGAGCACAATTTTCGACTTGTTTTTCTAGCTCTTGAGAAAAATTTTTGAAAATTCTTCAACAATATAATCACGAATAAAAGTTTTTAATTTTGTTACATAGCTCATCCCATCTGACGTTGACGTCTGTTACCTGACATTCATGGAAAATATCACGAGTACAAGGTCCTTCCCCACCTTAAATAGTTTCGCTGGTCTTATCAACTTTGTGAAAGAAAACGCAATTCATAACGAAAACTTTCTTAAAAATGTCTTACAGCTATTTTTCGTGCAGGTTTTTAAAATTAGTACTTGTTCACTGAATATGATCAGAAAATATTTCATGAAATTTGGCTAAAAAACGAATTCATACAACAGAAAAAAGGACGGTGTTGGAGCTGGGTAACGAAGCGGTCGACTTCTTGAAGTAAAAGAGAATTTTTGCTATTAGGACGTATTTATGACCAGTTTCGTTTATAGTGGTTCAATTTTTTGCATTTCGAGTCATTGTGAGATATTTTAAGCGGATAAATACGAAAAATAAAACATCCACAGGGTGTTCAAAAACCTATGACACTTTTGAAAAGGCTGTCATTTTTGACTGTAATGATCTATGAGTCTGACTTTTCGCAGGGTGATAGATGAGATGTGGAACTTTGAGAAAACGTGAACAAATAACAATTTGGAGAAACACAAAAAAATTTTGTGCCCTTTTCTTGATTTTCAATCATGCTTCATTGAATTGTTCACGCCAGTTTCTGCAATCTCGTTCATTTTATCAAGGAAATAAAATTCAGTGATGAGCAGCGCAAATTCATTATCCTCCAGTTTACAAAAGGGATGTCAGCAATTGCTGTCAAGCGAAAATTTCTTGAAACATATGCTATTTGGGGAAAGCAAAAAAGCAAGTTCACTTTGACCGATTTTCAACGTGAATGGCAACTGTTTGAAGACAGGCCTTTAGGACAGGTTACGAATAGAAGTGGTCGACCAAAGATATGAATTGATCATTATCCGAGAGTTGCGAAACACTATAAAAACAACCTCAAATCAAGTTTACGAGAGTCATCAAGGGCACTTGATGTACCCTCAATCAGTTCATGGCAAATTCTGAGGCGAGACTTAAAGCTTGTTCCATTCAAAGTCAACTAACTGCATAAATTAACAGAAAATTATTACGAAATGCGAGAAACATTTTGCTTGTGGTTTTTATCTCAGGCTCGAAACTTCACTGGAAGATTCTCTGGAGTGACGAAAAATGGTGGGTTTTGGACCCAGAGTCGAACAGCCAAAACGATCGGATTTGGGCACGTTGCAACGTTTGTGATATCGAAGAAACTTGTGGAACACCGGTGAGATATCAGGAGATTTTGGTTCCAACAAGACGGCGCAACATGCCATACAATACCTCCAATATTACAGTCTCTACAGACTGTTTTTGGTGACCGTATTATCAGTCGTCATTCCCAAATTCCATGGCCCGCTCAAAGCCCGGACCTTAATACCCTGGACTACTACTTGTTCTGGGGTTATGTTTGTGCTGGAATTAATCTCGAAAAACACAGGACCACTGCCGAATTGATCACAAGCGTTGAAAAATTCTGTCGTGGGATCACACAGGATCAGATTTCAACTGCTACAGCTTTAATTCAAAACGTAATGATCAAATGTCAAGAAAATGGCGGGAAACATTTTCAACATCTTTTGAAATTAAAAATTTTAATCTACATAAAATGTCCACATCTCGTCTATAATGTGTTAGATTTTCATGTGCTCACGTCAATTCAGTTAGAAATGACAGCTTTTTCAAAAATCTCATAAATTTTGGAACACCCTGTTTTTTAGATCACCTTAAAGGCGATTTTGGAGCGTTTTGATTTTAATTTTCTTTTGTCGGTGGAAGCATTTTTCACTTCATTATCAAAGTTTTTTTTCTTTTGAGTAAAAAAACAGAAAATTAATTTTTTTAGTGAACAGTTAACTCAAAAGAAACAAGCTATGTTCTCCACTTAAAAGCTGTACTTTTTCCAAATTTTCTCGAGATCATTTGTCTTGGCTCTAATTTAACTCGAAATTAAGTTCATCATTTTCAAAGAACTATTTTCCATACTTTATTTTGATGTTTTCAGTTGCCTTCCAGATTGATTCTTAATTGAGTTGAACTAACGCACCAAGGTGATCAAAAATCCTATTTCTGATAGTGTAGTGCTGCAATCGAAGTTTGCGAAAATAGTATATATAGCAGTACTACTAGTTGCAGCTATTGTGGCATGCTCGTTTTCTAAGAGACATTAAAATTAAGTGAAAATGGAAAAACTTAAATGGAGCAGTCAAAAGCTGCTTTTGAGTCCAGTTCTCAGAAATATCTTTATTCAGATCTCCACGAGGATGTGTTTCTTTTGAAGGCGGAGCAATAAGCAAAAGGGTCTAAGAGCAGATTGGGTCCAAGAGCAGATAAACAGAAAAGTATTAACTAATACTGAATATTACGGGCAAATTGATTAAATAATTATCAGAATTAGAATGGTCAATAATACAAAAAAAAGTTAAAAATTATTCATGAATTGAATGTTTTTGTCATGCTTTTTTCATTGAATAAATAAAAGATCGTGAATTAATTATTCAAACTACGCATAAAATATTAGTTTCTTTAGTAAAATTGACTATGATTATACTTGATTTACCGATCAGCTTCAAAAAATTATAATTTTCCAGTTTTTCTGCTTTTGGACCAATTCTGCTTTTAGACCATTCTGCTTATTGACTGGCCACCATTTCATTTTCTAGCACTAGATGTGCTTCTAGCCCTATTTGTAATATCTGTCTGAAAATTACATTTTGTTCAAGCTACGCTTGTGGCAAGTTCGATATAACCAACTAGCCTTTCAAAGTTTGATAAAGATAGTTGAGCCAAACTTTGTGCTTCCACTTCAGCTAAATTTATAGGGTGAAGATAAGGAGTATTTAGTTAGCAAAACGATGTCTTTAACTATTGGTTATTGGTCCCTTAGAGGGCTGGGAGAACCAGTGCATTTAGTTCTCGAGTACCTCGGACTTCGCTATGAGAAGAAGACTTACCATTACCATATTGAAGACTTCCAAGAATGGTTCGCAAAGGACAAACTCGAAATTGGAATGGACTACCCCAACCTGCCTTATTTAATCGATGGCGATTTCAAAGTGGCACAAACTCTCACTGTACTGAAGTACATTGGGCGAAAGTATGGACTGTTTGGATCCGAAGACATCCAGAAACTGGCGAAACAGGAAGAAGTGCTGGATAACATCCACTTTCTCAGAGTGGAGTGGGCCATAATGTGCTATGGCGAGGACTATGAAACTAAGAGGGCAGAGTATTATGGAGAACAGGGCATGCGGAACTTTGCAGACCATATGAGTTATTTTGAAAAGGTTCTCGGGAGACAAACATGGTTGGCAGGGGAAAACGTTTTTGTCGGAGATTTCTACATGTGGCATCTCTTGGACATAAACGAACTGTGTGAGCCGACTTGTCTCGATAATTTCCCCAACTTGAGAAAATTTAAAGCAGCGGTCGCAGAACTGCCACGAATTGCTGAATATTTGAGTAGCGACAGATATAAAAAGTTCCCAATTAATGCATCAATGGCTAAATGGGGAGGTGGCAGCGAATGATGGTGTTACTCTAACGAAATACAACTATGCTGAATATAAAAACTACGAGCAAAGATGAAATCTATCTTCTGTTTATAAATTATAATCTTGTTTTAATCGTTTGAAAAATTCCATTGAAGCGCTCAAAACTTAAAAAAAGATACTTTCGAACTTGCTCAAGTAATTTAGATCTTTTAGCTCTAGTTCCCAACGAGCTGCGATTCATATTTGTAATTATCAAGAACTCAATTTTTGAAACACAATTAACAATTTGTACACATTCGCCGAAATTAGAGTCAGTAAGCCTCCTTGTATCAAGACAAAGCCTTTAGACTAAGCCTTCAGACTACCTTCTAAACAGTTTTTTGGAAACACTTAAAAACAAAAACTGATGAAACAATTTTAGAGTTTTTTCTAATTTTAGCCTTCCCCCACCCGCTATATAATATCTAAAATGATGTGTTTAGCGTCTAGTAACGGTGAATTCCCATAGGTTCCAATATTCATAGGTTCCAAAATAAAAAATCAGTCGCATAAGTTCCAAAATTTATCTTCTTGAATTCTGATTGGTTGAAATTTGAGCCAACGAATTTATGGATTGATTGTTAACTGTTCAACCAGCATAAACTCAAGCTGCAGAATAGTGACCGCCGCAGCCGCGCCAACGTGTTGCGAGCTTGCCACCAAAGGGTAGGACTCTATACGAAATTTAGAGCCGGTTATCGCCGCGAAGCGGCGACGCGCGCGTAGCGCGCCCACCGGCGACCTTAAACCGAGACTCGGCTAATGTAGTCTTTTGACCAATTGGAAAGATTTGGAACTTATGCGACTGCTTTTTTATTTTGGAACCTATGGGACTGATTTTTCATTTTGGAACCTATGAATACGCACCTCTAGTAACAAGGAAAAATAACATTTCTGAGTTGATTTCAATACTAGTTCTTACACAAGCAAACTCGAGAGCATTGCTTAATTTATATCTCTCGAGCCTTTTTTCGATACAGTGGGCGGACTGTAGTCATTGAAGTCCGACACCATGTTGTGAAGCTCTCATTCGCTCCCGAGGTTCTATCTGTCTCATCGACTCTGCTAGGTCGGGACGACTACGCTTCTTCTCTTTTGATTCACCAAGGCCAGTCAAGCCAGTCGTTCTGCCCGGTATATCAGTTGATTGAGCAGATACGTCTGCCGGGTACTTTTCATCTTCATCCCCTCCCGAGTCGAGATTTTTCACCTAATTTGAAGCAACATTTGAGCGGTTTCAGCGGTTTTTTTAGACAATTACGCTCAAAATCTTGCTTCAAAATGAGCGGTTTGAGCGATTTTTGAACGGTTTATCTAAAAAAAACCGCTCAAATCTTGTGCGCGTTTTTAGATAAACCGCTCAAAACCGTTCAAACCTTGCGCGGTTTTTGAGCGGTTTTTTTAGATAAACCGTTCAAACCTTGCGCGGTTTTTGAGCGGTTTTTTTAGATAAACCGTTCAAAAACCGCTCATTTTGAAGCAAGATTTTGAGCGTAATTGTCTAAAAACAAACCGCTCAAATCTTACATTTTTTCCAGTGGTTATTTTGCTCGAGCATTTGAAAAAAGTCGCTCACATTGTTTTTGGCCAAGACATCGAAAAAAATATTGCTTGATTTGAGAACGCTCAAACCGCTCAAATCTTACTTATTTTCCAGTGGTTATTTTGCTCGAGCATTTGAAAAAAGTCACTCACATTGTTTTTGGTCAAGACATCGAAAAAAATATTGCTTGATTCAAATAGCCGGAGAAACTAGATTGAATCTTTTTTCAATGTTGTTTTTGAAATTGTATGAAAATTGTTTGATTAGCATTTTTCCATACATTTGATGTAGGCAATAGCATTTTTCCATACATTTGATGTAAGCAATTGCATGATAAGCTTTTTCGGTGTGGGGAAATTTAAAATAAGCATTTTTGGTTGATGGATGTCAACCCGAGGTCACAATACCTTTCCAGGCCTTTTTGTTGGTTTTAATCGGTTTTCTTTATAAGTCCGCTCAAAAACCGCTCAAAAACCGCTCAAATCTTGCTTGAAAAACCGTTCAAAAATCACCGTAAGAAATGAGCGGTTCTTGAGCGGTTTTTTGAGCAAGATTTGAGCGGTTTGAGCGGTTTTTCCAAAAAAAAAACGCCCAAACCGCTCAAATCTTGCTGAAAAACCGCTCAAACCGCTCATATCTTGAGCGGTTTTTGAGCGGGATCTCGACCCGGGCTCTAATACTGGCTCTTCTTTAGGCCTAACCTCTCAGTGGTCTTAATTGACTTTCTACTTAAATTTTCTACGTTTAGCTCATACACATTTCGCCCCTGTTATATCTAGTGGCACATTTCGCCCCGCACACATTTCGTCCCTCACACATTTCTCCCCTCACACATTTCGCCCCTAATAATTTCACACATTTCGCGAAATGTGGGAGGGACGAAAAGTGCTAGTAATTTTCTGAGGGGCGAAACGTGTGAGGAGCGAATTGTGTGAATACCATTCCACTCCGCTTCCTCATTATGATTTATTTTCATCACTTATCAACTTAACACTGCACAAAAAGGCAATACAAGTTAAAGCACTAACAAAAAAAATCCCATGTTTTCAGATTGGGAAAAGAACATCCATTCACCATGCTACGTATTAAGATTGGATATAGAGTCTACAATGTATTAAGATAGAGAGTAGAATTGACAAGGTTTCATGCTTTGTGTGATGATAAGAGAATGTTAAGAAAACTGGTACTTTTTGATTTTGCGTGGAAGTGTCGAGTTTTTTTACAAAATTTTTGGCGCGCGTTATCTAAGTGGTAAATATCAATAGTTAATTACGTGTAGATTGTGGAATGACACTATAATGTTTTTTGGTTCATAGTAAGTCAATGGTAAGAAATTGTTGCGCAAAAAATGAGATCTTCATCAAAAAAATTGAAACTTTTCTAAGAATCTTCAAAATTGTTTTGGTATAATTCGACCTATTAAATTTTTATTAGATGATTTCGCTTTTTAAAACAGTGCTCTATCTATCTGAAACTATGGTGAAACTTAACGGAAACGGAGCTAAAGCTTCCGAAAACTCGGAAAAATTGTCAAACTTCCTAATTTGAAAAAGTTACCTACAAGTCATCAAATTAGTTTCAGTATCTGCCAAAACTTATCTTTTTTACGCTCTATATCTGCTTTTCTACTAATTTTTTTGTCTTAGAGGATATCTATGCTGTAGAAAAGATCAGCTCAAAAACACTTTACATAATTCGATTCTAACTTGGATTTTTATAAGAGTTTAATCAAAATTCATTCAAAAGAGACAAAATTAAATTCGTTATATACAAATCGTTGTTTATTAAAACAAGGTGGTTTCTGAGAAATATTACGTTTTCTGCCAATTTACTATAATCACATATTTTTTCCCAGTTTTTATCACATTTATCATCCTAGTTTCGTACATGAAACAATATCGGAGGATTTTTCTAGAAAAATTGGTGGATAGGTACACTTTTCCAATAATCTGAAATCGCTGCTATAATAATGAAAATTATAATTTGGACACTTTGAAACTTCACAGGTACTACGATGTCTTGACGCATCTTTACGTGTATAGTCTCTGCCACATAAAAAAAACATATAATTTATTTGCGTTTTAAGGCAATGTAATCAATTTGATACAGATTTTACATAGTGTAAACAAATTATCTACAGATTATCTACAGATTATCAACACATTATCTAGAGATTATCTACAGATTATCTACAGGTTTAACTGTATAAAGATTATATACTGACTATATACAGGTCATCTACAGAATATTTACAAACTATCCACAGATTATCTACAGAATATCTACAAGTTTTTTATAAAGATTATATACCGACTACATACAGATTATCTCCAGATTTTATACAGGTTCTAATAGAAAAATTGATTTTTTTGGCAGTAATATTCTCGGTTCTTTTCAGTGACAGCATCATAATTAAAAAAGTGAGAACTTGAAAATGAACAAAAGTAAAAAAACGGCAACTTTCCTGACCAATTGTTTTTAACGTGGAAGGAAATCAGACTGAATTTCATCCGATTTGGTGTAGCTGAACAAAAAAACAACCAATCTGAATGAAACAATCAAATTTTCAAAAACTTTGATATCATCCAATCAGAATCAAGCTTTACGTATCAGGGAGCTTTCAACACTTTTGATAGCAGCCAATCAGAATAAGGCTTTACTTAACAGGGATTTTTCAACAGTTTTGATATCAAGCAGTCAGTTCCGAGCCTTACCTACAACGGAATATTTATACTCTTGTAACAATTAAAATCAATTTTCGCTTATAATGGAACTTTAGGCCATTGTGATATCAACCAATCAGAATTCAGCATTGCATCCTTTGAAATTTTTGATGATAATAACTAAAAGAATGAAGCAATCACAGATATAAATTTTATCAAAAATTAATAGAAAACCTATCACTCAAAAATTATGTTTTTACTTGGTCCCTTCATTTTAAGGGTATTCTCTTGGTTTGTTATTTGAGTCTTCGTCGTCCAATCTTTAGTTATTGTAATTAAAAACTTTGCTCATGAATCTTCGGATTCATTCTTTTTATCAAACAGTCTCTCCAATTTTTCTTACTCTCCAACTAAAATATTTTTGATAGAATCTTTTTTCTAGCTAAAATACAAACTTTTTAGGATTATCAGCAAGAACAACATGTTTTTAAATAAAAACACTTGAAATTTTTTAAATTTTTTGAAAGATGATTTTGTTATTAAGTGATTTTTCATTAATATTTCGGAAAATTGCATTATTTCATTGGCTGATATGTTTTGATGTGACCAATCAAAATCTCAAATTATAAAAACAATTAATGAAAACAATCTTTCGTATACAGAAAATTGTTAAATTTTTTTCTACTATAATTTTATTCTCAAGTAAATAATTGTTCAAATGAGACAAATTCTGAACGAAAACAATAGTAGAACAAACTTTTTAGTAATTTCTTTTGAATATCCTGAAAAAAAATTAGCTAGTATTTGGTTCAAGTACTATGTCAATTTTGATTAAATTGTATGTTTTGTCCGAGTTTTTCTTTCTGTTTCTAGCTCTAAATGTCTGCTTCAGCGCGAAAAAAAATGTTTTGAACCAAAAATATTTTAATTACCAAGCATTCAAAACATCACAAAGCGTTACTCAGCAAACTAAAGTCTTTCAAGATTTGGGTGAGTTCTTTGATTTCAATCAAAGTATA